GAGATGGTACCCATTTATACGTCTTTGGGCTAAAAAAAAATCCAAATAATATAGAGGGGTGTAAAGAGAAAAGCTCTCCTTTCCCCAGCCATTCTACTCTGCAGAGATAGCCACTTTTATAGTTTGTTGAGTATGGACTTCAGATTTTGCAAATATGTATGTATAATTTACATACAATGGGATGCATATTGTTCTCCAGTGCTGTTCAATGACATAATTGTCTTCTTTCCATTTCCGTGTTTATTGAATAGTGTAATGTCTACTTTTAGTGCTGGGAACTGTGCTGGGGGTGTGGTAAGTTAGTACTAGGGAGAGGATATACGTTACCTATTTCCGGCTTGTCTGTCACTGTGGCAGGGGGTGCTGCCTTGAGCATCGGTGGGTGCATGGTTTTGCATACTTGGACAGGAATTGTTGATTACAGCCCTAAAAATGGGGATGCTCTTATAGCCAGGTATGTTATATATTTTTAAACTTCATATGTGCATTTAGTCTTTCCACAATGCTGTGAAATAGATTTCACCTGGTGTACAGTTGAGGAGCTGGGATAGCACCAGTTCTTCAGGGAATGTCTGTGAGTTTTGGTGAGTGGTATCAGACACTACACAGGGTCCGAGCTTATGCCCTAGGCTGAAAGGGCTTCAGGGATCTTCAAGCAGTGTCTTGATATTTTACACCTGCGTTTAAAATACAGCTAATGTGAACAGTGTTTTTGATTGAGAGCATTCAAGGTTTTATGTTGGAATATTATAAGAAAAAAAATTCTTCCTTTTTAAAAAATATTTCTTGTACCTAACCCAAAGCCACGTTTCCTTTGTTATATTGACTTTCCTTGCTCCTTTTTTCTCTTTATTTTAGCATTCTTATTTAAAATATATTTTTGCGCTCTCTTGACATGAACCTTCCTGACTTGCTATATGCTTGTTTTTATGGAAAAATCTTAACCATATAGAAGTAGATTATTATAGTGAATCCCATGGACCTACCACTCAACTTCAATAATTATTAACTCTTGGCTAATCTTTTTTCTTCTATACTCCAACCCATCTCCCGCCCCTCTTCCATGTCTTATTTTTTTAATAGCTGTATTAAGATTTCCATAACATACAATTCACTACTTAAAGTATAAAATTCAGTGGCTTTTAGTGTATTCTTAGAATTGTACAACCATCACTACTATCAATTTTAGGACATTTTCATTACCTCAAAAGAAACACCTTAGCTGTCATCCACCCTTCTTCCCATCTCAGCCCTTGTTGAATACTAATCTACTTTCTGTTTATAGATTTCCCTATTCTAGATATTTAATATAAATGGAATCATACAATATGTGGTCCTCTGTGACTGGCTCCTTTCATTTAGCATATGTTCATCCATGTCATGGCATGTAGCAATACTTCATTTTTTTATTGCATAATGTTCCATTGTATACATATACCACATTTTCTGTATCCATCTGTTGATGGGTATTTGGATTGTTAATACTTTTTGACTATTATGAATAATGCTGCTGTGAACATTTGTGTAAAAGTTTTTGTGTGGACACCTGTACACCTAGCAGTAGAGTTACTGGGTCATGTGGCAACTTTCTTTAAGCATTCGAGGAACTTCCAGATAATTTTCCACAGTGACTGCACCATTTTATATTCCCATCAGCAATGTCTGAAGGTTCCAATCCCTGTGATTTTGAAATAAATCCCAGATGTAATTTCACCCTAAAATATTTTAGAATGTATTCATAAAAGATGAGGGATTTCTTTTTCAAACATAACCATAGTACCATTGTAGTATCTTCTAACAATAATTTCTTTTTCTTTCTTTTTCTTTTTAAGGCTAGTCAATGGGAGTGGAGAAGGAATAAAGAAATCTGTAACTAGTTGTGATCGATTAGTTATAAACACCACCACACTCAGACCAGCTAATAATCTTTTTTGTTTTTGTTTTTGAGACAGAGTCTTGCTCTGTCACTCTGGGTGGAGTGCAGTGGCATCATCATAACTCACTGTGACCTCAAAATCCTGGGCTCAAGTGATCCTCTTGGCTCAGCCTCCCTAGTAGCTGGGACTATAGGCGCGCCATGACACCCAGCTAATTTTTCTATTTTTTTTGCTCAGGCTGGTCTCAAACTCCTGAGCTCAACAATCCTCCTGCCTTGGCCTCCCAGAGTGCTAGGATTACAGGTGTGAGCCACTGTGCCCAGCCTTATAACTTCTTAATATAATCAAATATTCAAGGCCAGATGAGATGACTCACGCCTGTAGTCCCAGCTACTCAGGAGGCTAAGATAGGAAGATTGCTTGAGCCTAGGAGTTTGAGGTTGTTATGAGCTATAATCACTCTATTATACTCTAGTGTGAGCAACAGAGTAAGACTCTGTCTCTTAAAAAAAACCAAAAAACTCCCAAATAGTCAGTGTTCAAATTTATAATTGTCTCATAAATGTTATATATATTTTTCAGAGACAGGGTCTCATCCTGTTACCCAGGCTAGAGTGCAGTGGCACCATCATAGCTCACTGCAACCTCAAACTCCTGGGCTCAAACGATCCTCCCACCTCAGCCTCCAGAGTAGCTAGGACGACAGGCACATGCCACCATGCCCAGCTAATTTGAAATATTTTGTAGAAACAGGGTCTGGCTACTTTGCCCAGGCTGGTCTTGAACTCCTATACTCAAGCGATCCTCCCACCTCAGCCTCCCAATGTGCTGGTGTTACAAGCATGAGCCACCATTCCCAGTGTCATAAATATTATTTGATGGTTTGTTTGAAACAGGATCCAAATAAGGTATATACATCATATGACTTATATGTCTTTTAAATCTTTTAATCTATAAATTCCACCTCTTAATTTCAGCCTTGTAATTTATATTTTGAAGAAACTAGGTCCCTTTATCCCGTAGCAATTCCCACAGCCTGCATTTTGCTGACTACATTCTTGTGTTAACACTCAGGGGCTTGATTAGTGTTACAGACTGAATGTTTGTGTCCCCCACATTCATCCGTTGGACCCTAGTCCCTGCTGAGATGGTAGTAGCAGGTGGAGGCCCGTGGGAGGTAATTAGTCAGGATGGCTCTGCCTTAATCTCAGGATTAGGGCCTCCATAAGAAAAGACCTGAGAACTAACCGCGCTTTCTTAGCCACGTGAGGATACAACACGAAATTGATAGTCTCAACGTAAAGAGAGCCCCCACCAGAACCCAGCCATGTTGGCACCCTAGTCTCAGACTTCTAGTCTCTAGAACCGTGAGAAATAAATTTCCGTCGTTACACCACCCAGTCTGTGGTACTTTATCAAAGCAGTGCGAACAGACTGAGGCAGGAAGATTCAGGTTCTTTTTCTGGCAAGGATACTTCACAGGTGCGTCTTCCCTGAGGCGGCACAGGAAGTATGCTTATCTCTTTTTGTGATGTCAGTAGCTATGGATAATCAATGCCTGGAGTTTCCTCCCTCTATGGAGCAAGTTATATAACTGGTTTTTTTTTTGTTTGTTTGTTTTTGGTACAGAGGAAAAAATGGGTTTTCCTTGTGATAATGCATTTATTGACCTGTTCCTTGGCATTACTCCAATCTCTTCCTCTAGTCTCATACCACTTTCTCCTGTGTCTTGTCTTCTGTCTCTCTCAAGTTTCTTTCTGCTTCTTTAAAAATATATTTTTTTCATTGGAATTAGAGCCCACCTACATAATCTAGGATGGTCTTCTCATCTTAAGATCGTTTGCAATTATACTTGCAAAGACCCTTTTGCTAAATAAGATAATATTCACAGATTCCGGGGGTTAGGACACGGATATCTTTTTGGGGCTACCTCTCAACCCGTTACATGAAGTTAAAGGCAAAGTATGGATCTCCACATCCTCCGACACTCCACCAGGCAAGCCTCTGTTAGGCCTAAAATAGGGAAGCCTTGAAATGCGAATGATCCTGCTCAATAGTGCAAAGCTACGAGAGGAAAAACGAAATGATGACCGAGCATAAAAATTGTTAGATAAACTCATGAGTAGGTTTAATGTCCTCTCTGCTGTCCTACAGTTCGAGTTGTTTGGTTAAGGCCTGCTGTTTCTCAGAATTAAAGCAAAATGATTCAATGCCCTCAAGTTGTTCCTCACTGTCTCCTGCAGGTCCCTGGACATTTGGTTGGGGCGGGGTGTAGGGTGGACATGCCATTCATTTGTTTGTGGTTTGTAAAGTTCAATTCATAACATGGGAGTGGGGTAGTAAGGTAGCCTGCTGTGTTAAGTGCTTGAACGTTAGAACACAAATCTGTCATCAGCACACCCTCCTGTCCAGCGGCGTGAGGCCAGAAGGCTCTCCTGCCAGCCGCTCCCGTGGAAGGTCTGCAGGGAGCTAGCACAGACTCGGGGAATCCCTGCCCATTGTTGAAGCCATCCTTGTGGGTGGAAAGGGGATGCCCCTTGCGGTCCTGGGAATCTCCCTAGACCAAGCTCTGGGATAGGGTGTGACTAATAGGCCGGGCTGGATCCGGGCTCGGGGCCAGAGTGGGATAGACAACTATGAAGTGAGAACTTACAAAGCTGATGGCAGGGTAGGGCTTGCTGTTTCACACACTTGAGAATTTGGAAAGGAATCATTAGACAATCCTAAACCGGGTTTTACTAACTGGCCCATCCAAGGACTGATGATGGACAGTATGATAAGAACAGCTGGGAACTAACGAGTGTGGACAGTTAGTGAAAGCCAGTTGAAATGCTGTTGGTCTTTTTGAGATTCCTAGAACTCCATGTTCCACATGCACCCTACAGCTCTCCAATAAAAAAAGTACTTGTTGTAAGGAAAAAAACACACAAAAATAAACAAAACCAGACAATAGAAATCCCAATAATCTCATCACTCAAAGAAAGCCCCTGTAAGCATTTTGTATAATATAATCCTCCCGTAGTATAGTTTCATCTTCATCTAAAGTACTTTCATTTGAACCAACTAGCATTACTGCCGAAATGTTTATTTCAGTAATGACTGTTGTCTGCCTGTCTTGTACAGGAGCCAAAAGACCCGCGGGAGGAAGAAGTCTCATTGGGAAGATTGACAGCCCACCTCACGTCACTGTAAAAGGAGTTACAGTGAAACCAGGCTTCTCCGTGGATGAGTTTTCCGCGTCCGTCCTCACTGGAAAACTGACTACCGTCTTTCTTCCGATTGTCTACACAATTGTATTTGTGATTGGTTTGCCAAGTAATGGCTTGGCCCTGTGGGTCTTTCTTTTCCGAAGCAAGAAGAAGCACCCGGCTGTGATTTACATGGCCAACCTGGCCTTGGCCGACCTCCTGTCTGTCATCTGGTTCCCCTTGAAGATTGCCTATCACATACACGGCAACAACTGGGTGTACGGGGAAGCGCTTTGCAAGGTGCTCATCGGCTTTTTCTACGGCAACATGTACTGTTCCATTCTCTTCATGACCTGCCTCAGTGTGCAGAGGTACTGGGTCATCGTGAACCCCATGGCGCACCCCAAGAAGAAGGCAAACATTGCCGTTGGTGTCTCCCTGGGGATATGGCTGCTGATTCTGCTGGTCACCGTCCCCCTGTATGTTGTGAAGCAGACCATCTTCATTCCGGCTCTTAACATCACCACCTGTCACGATGTTCTGCCCGAGGACGTGTTGGTGGGGGACATGTTCAGCTACTTCCTCTCTCTGGCCATTGGAGTCTTCCTGTTCCCAGCCTTCCTCACGGCCTCTGCCTATGTGCTGATGATCAGGGTGCTGCGGTCCTCGGCCATGGACGAAAACTCAGAGAGGAAAAGGAAGAGAGCCATCAAGCTCGTCATCACCGTCCTGGCCATGTACCTGATCTGCTTCACGCCTAGTAACCTTCTGCTCGTGGTGCATTACTTCCTGATTAAAAGCCAAGGCCAGAGCCACGTCTACGCCCTGTACATCGTGGCCCTCTGCCTCTCCACCCTCAACAGCTGCATCGACCCCTTTGTCTATTACTTTGTTTCACAAGATTTCAGGGACCACGCAAAGAACGCTCTCCTTTGTCGGAGCGTCCGGACCGTAAAGCAGATGCAAGTATCCCTCTCCTCGAAGAAATTCTCCAGGAAATCTAGCTCTTACTCTTCAAGTTCGACCAGCGTTAAAACCTCCTACTGAGTTTTCCAGGTCCTCACACGGAAGTTATACAGTAGGATGCGGACCTGCTTCATCTTATGGGGACGTGTCTGTTATTGCCTAACCAAGTGGGTCTCATCACGTACCGTGCATATGTGATGTCTCAGGATTGCTAGAAGCTTCCCTGTTTGCATGGTAAAAGTCCCCCCAAATTAACACAGATGTCAGTTGCAGAATTCCGCTGCTCAGATGCTCCGAGAAACTGAGCTAACAGAAGCAGACTTTTCAGCAGGGGGGAAAAAGACAAACCCAGTGACTTGCAAAAACTAGGCCTGGCGTAAAGACTAAGTTCTTAGCTGACACCGTATTTCTTTTACATCTGGGGTCAATCATAGCCTTGTTAGGGCTTGAGGGCCCTTGGAGATGATCGATCACTCCAATTGATTGACTTGACAAACAAGGAAACTAAACAGGTAATACAAGTTGCCCAGAGTCAGGTTTCTGAGCAACAGCAGTGAGTTTGGATTGGACAGTAGGATACGAATGTTCAGTGAGTGGGGTTTTTGGACCACTTCATCAAAATCACTGTGGCGCTTGTTTAAAATGCAGATTCCTTAGATTCAGTGATGAAAGCTCAGGCTCTGGGAACAGGGCCCAGGAGTCTGCATGTTATAAGCCCGTGTGATGTTTAGGCACCAAAGGTTTGAGAACCACTGGTCTGAGTGCTGTTTCTGCTTGACAAGGGGCCATGATAATTTTTGGAAAAAAAAAAAAAAAAGCAAACAAATATTTTGTGTTTCTTACATTTAGCTTATAATGAAATCTGTTTATGGACTTATCAGGACTTTTCATTACTAATCCTTTGAGCTTTTGTGTGTCTTATTACTTCAAGAAAAGTACAATGAGGATTTTAAACATGTAAATACAAATTTTGTATAGCTTTTTACTGACTTCAGTGGAATTTTTATGTAGTCTGAATAATGGATTGTTTTGTAACTGAGAATAGCTTTTACCACTGAGTATTTTTAAAAATTGCTGGATTATTTATTGTCAGTTTTGTTCACTCGTTAGCAAACATGAAATTGTAAAGCCATCACAGGGTTTGGCCCACATCTCTTTGGAAAGCACTAAAGTAAATGGATGTGTAACATAGTTAAGAGGTTCTTGACTCCAAACTGACTTCATACAACTGTTGTATTTGTGACTTTTAAAAATAATTATTTTATTATATGATTGATTTATAAACAACACGATTTTTTTTACAGCTTATTTCTGAGTTGTGTGTTTGTTTGGGAGGGAATGAGAGAAAGGGACCAAGAGTGTCTTTCTTCTGAGCAGAAATGATCGATGCTTGCGCCATGCTCTGTGATAGCTGTTTTTCATTTAACAATGTGTTTTAGAATTCTTTCCACACCTGTGTCTACAGATCGACCATTTTTTTAAAGGACACAGACTATTTAATATTTTGGATATGTTGCAATGTCTTTAGTTATTTCCCTACCAATGGCTCCTTAAGTTGACACCACCCCACCCTTTTGGTCATTAAAACAGTGCTGCACTGAATAGCTGTATATGGACATCTTTGGGAGTATTTTTGTAAGGATAAGTTCCTGGAAGTAGAATGGCCAGGTCCAAAGTTAGATGTCCATATTAAATTTTGATAACTCTTGCCAAATCGCCTTCAGTAAGGTATACTTCAACCAAAATAGTATGTGTGTACCTGTCGCCTCAAATGCTCATCCACACTCCATGCCACTGATCTTTTGAAATGTTGCCAATCTAATTGGGCAAAAAAATCTCACTGTTGCTTTAATTTGTGTTGAAGCAGCAGCACAGACTCGTGGCTGAGAGTGCAGGTCCTGAGCCAGGCTGAATTCTGACTCCATCGTTTCTTACCTTAGGGAAGTTTCTGTTGCCTTAGGGAAGGGACATCTCAGGGACATCTCTCTGATAGAATGAAGATAATAGTATCTTCCTCATGAAGTCATATACAGATAAAATGTTTGGTGCATTTAATGTGTTCATAAGTATTACGTAGCATCATTACTGTTAGTCCCTGACTGCTGGTGAGAACTCTGTGCTCTGCCCCCTTTCACTTCAGGGCCACTTGGCTTGCTTTCCTGCTCTGCTTTCAGTCTCATAGCAGGCCTGCAAGGTTGTCCTTATTTTACAGGGAAGAAACCTACAGATGGTGGACACAGGATAAAAGGGCAAAAGGAGCAGCAACGAATGACTCACAGTGGCCCTGCATGCTGTCTATGGGCTGAGTCAGTGGAGAAAATTTTTTTTGTACTTGCCATTTCCATATTAGTCATTTTTATAATATATACTGGTGGTAAAAAAAAAAAAAAAGAAAAAAAAAGCAATCAAAACTGGCCACAGTGACACGCACCTGTAGTCTCAGCTACTCAGGAGGCTGAGGCAGGAGGATCAGTTGAGCCCAGGAGTTTGAGGTTACAGTCAGGTATGATTGCGCCACTGCACTCCAGCCTGGGTGGGTGACAGAGAAAGACCCTGTCCTCCCCACTCCCTCCCCCAAAAAAAACCTCAACAAAAACATATAAAGAATTTTCTTCTTTGTTACCCCTGCCAAGATTCATCTCCCAGACAAAACTAATTTTTATAATAACTTGTTCATAGAAAGTATATGTATACTATACTCTTAAAATGAATATGTATGTATATCTACATATATATATGCATATATGTTTTTTAACTTCTAAATCAGATATAGATCATCATTTTTTTTAACTCATTCATTCACTGCTTCTCATTATTTTTAATGACCAGGTAGTATTCCATGAATGGATGGCCCAAAATTTAATCCAATTAATCTATTAAAGAATAGAATTAGTAGATAATATATGGTAAAGTAAAGGTACTTTTTTTGGGTTCATTTTCACCAAACCTTTGAATCTATATGAAAAAGTATAAAAGGAATGATTAGAGAAATAGAATCATAAGAATGTTTGCTAAAGCAAAAGCTTCCCAAATCATCATGTTTCTTTTGCCTTTGAAAAGTGACTTAGAAAACCCCCAGTCTAACTAACTTAGGCCCTTAATAGGAGGTCTGAGGAACTCCATCCCAGCAGAGAAGTACCTTGGATGTGATCGTCTTTGCTCTTGTGTTACGTGTCCTGTTGCTTAATTTTTCTAAACTGATTCCTAAAATACCTGAAAATTTAAATATTTTGCAGTCCTCTGGTTCATTTACTGAAAGAGGGCCCTGGTAATTTTCAAGTGAGTACAGTTTTGCTGCCCTGCTGTTTAGGACAGAAGGCTGAACTGACTTTATTGAAGTTGTCTACTGGTTTTTCTTGTGTGTCACTACAGTTGTTTGCAGCAGTAGTTTCAAACTTATAATTTCCTGCTTATCAAGATTTCATAAACCCTGGGGCCATAATCTCATCAGTATGCATAGTTTAGGGATTACAACTTTGTTCCTGAAACTTTAACCCTTTATAGGCCCCTGAGAGGGCTAGAATATATTGCACAATCACAAGTAATCACTGCTGTCCTCTGGGTCTCCATCAGAATTATGGGTTTTTGCTTTGATGTTTGGATCTTCTCAAAGAGAAGTTTTTGATTCCATACCAGTCAAAAGCATGTGTCCATTACTCCCCTGATCCCCAGTTCTGAAGAGAAAAACAAACCCTCAGTGATAGGGATTAAGCCCTTATGATTTATTTAAGCCTTAGAACTTCACTGAGACGGTTGTTCTGTTTCCATGTAAATAATCAGAGTCACCCAGACCACTCCTTGGAAATGCCTGTATTGAGGGAAAGTATAAAGAATTCTGTGGTTTGGGTGTGAGCTGCTCTTGCCTCTACAAGTTGGTAAATCTATGGAATATCCCCCAGCCTCTGTTTTCATTGGTGAGAAATTCGACCAGTGTCATGGGCTACCTCCTCCCGAGGAAACCACAGCGCGAGCCTGTGGGCTCCACCAGGAACTCGAGGTCAGCACCCGGCAGCAGCGCTGGTGGGACATTTGTTCATCCCCAGACATGTACTGCAATGTTATTTCATTATTTAAAGTCAAATAATTAAATCAGGATTGCTACCTTAGCAGCGGTCTAGTTTCAGGGTTGATATTCTCAGCGAAATACAACAATATTTAAAACAAACAAACAAAACAACAACAACAAAAAACCCCAAACCCAACTGTTTAGTATTTAGGCTACTCAAAAGCCTTTATAGCATGGCCTGTCCCACAGCTTGGTCTTGAGGCTGGCAGAAAGGCAAGGAAAACACAAAGGACAAGAAGGCTTAGGAAAGGTTACTATTGTTGCTTACCCCTCTGATCATGGCTTTGCTTAAGGTCTTTCATAAAATAACTTTTCAAAAATTATAAGTAATAAGTGTTCTTGTTAAAAAATAAGAGTATAAGTATATAGTGAAAAAAGAACACATCCCCTCCCTACCCACCCACATCAGAACCCAATTATACTCTCTTTGTATATGTTCTTTGAGATATTTTCTGTGCATGTGTAAGTATGTCTAAACACTTTTTTTTGTTTTCCTTTTTTTTTTTTTTTGAGACAGAGTCTTGCTGCGTCTCCTGGGGCTAGAGTACAGTGGCCTCGTCATAGCTCACAGCAACCTCAAACTCCTGGGCTCAGTGATCCTCCTGCCTCAGCCCCTGGAGTAGCTGGGACTACAGGCGCACACCACTATGCCTGGCTAATTTTTTCTATTTTTAGTACAGATAGGTCTCACTCTTGTTCAAGCTGGTCTGGAACTCCTGAGCTCAAGTGATCCTCCCGCCTCGGCCTCCCAGAGTGCTAGGATTACAGGCCTGAGCCAGCCCACCCGGCCACTTTTAAAAAGTAAACCGGGAGTTATACTATGCATTAAATTTACACATAACTTCCTTCACAATTCAGTGGCTTAAAACAACAATAAATATTTACTAACTGGCACGGTCCCTGCGGGCTCTGAATTCAGGGGTGCAGCGGGACGGCTGTGGTTTGGGGCTCAGGAGCTGGCAGTCAGGACACTGGCTGGACCTGTGTTTGCTGAAGACTTGGCTGGGGCTGGGGCTCACTCACAGGCTGGCGGGTTGGTGCCGGCTGTTGGCAGCACACCTCAGCTCCTCTCCGTGCGGGCCTCTCCACAGGGCTGCTGGAGCGACCTCATAACACAGAGGTCGGCTTCCCCCAAGATGAGTGATCCAAGAGAATGAGGGGGAGCTGCAATGCCATGCATAACCTAGCCTCAGAAGTCACACACCGTCACCTCTACCCTCCTCTTGCTCACAGAGACTAGATCCAGTTCAATTTGGGAGAAGACTACATAGCAGCATAAATACCAGGAGGCGAGGATCACTAGGGACCATATAGAAGGCTGGTTGCCACACTGTTTATGAACACATCTTGGATATTATTATCATCTTAGCATTTATAGGTTGACCTCATTATTTTAAATGTCTATATCCATTGTATGCACATACCGTAATTTATGGAATCCGGTCTATGCTCTACTTGTATTGCTATCCAAACAATATTTGAGTATATCTTTACATACTTGTTCATTCAGTATTCTTTCACCATGCTGTGCCAACGCATGTTCTAGGCAGTAAGGAATGTTGTGGAGAACAAACTAGAAAAGAACCCCATTCTTAGGGAGTTTACTTTCTGATTGGGGAAAGAATGAAAGCAAACAAAAAATACCCAATCGTAGTAAAGGCTAAGGGTAAATGCCAAGAGTATTTTATTTCAGGGGATCAGGGAAGGTTTGTAAGGAGGTGAACTTTAAGTTGCAATGTAAGGACAAGAAAGCCAGCCATCGTAGGATCCCAAGCAGGGGCCTTATGGGAATAAGTAAGGGGAAGAGAAAGAACAAGTAGGTTAGACAGACAGGCAGGTCCTGAATAATCGATGGAATCTTTGAGGGAGTAAGGAGCTTGATTTTCTTCCTTGGTGGGATGCTATAGGGTCGTTTCAGTGGTTATTAAAAATCCCACTGGCTACTATATGGAACAGGTATTGTAGAAGGGCAAGGGAGAAAGCAAGGAGAACAATTAGGAGTAATCCAAGCAAGAGATGATGTTGGCTTGAATTAGGGTAATGGTAACACAGATGAAGAGAAGAGGCCTAATTTGGGCTATGTTTTGGAGGTAAAATCAACAGATGTGAAGAAAAGAGGAATCAAAGATCACATCTAGATTTTTTGCTTGACGGATGAAATAATTAGGAGTGAGCATGCTTGGAGGTTTGAAATCAAGAGTTCTGTTTTGACTGTGGTATGTTGGATTTGAGATGCTTGTTG